TTCCCCGAATCAACAACAATTTTCACCCTTATAAAGCCATCTAGAAGCCATATTAATGTTTTCGATCTTGTATTGTTTTAGATGTGACATATTTATTCATATCTTCAACTTATTAGAAAATTGATGTGGAAACTAATTATTAATAAAGAAAATGTGTAACAAAAATTTCTCTAACCTTTGTTTTCTTGGGGTACTATCATTTTTAGTAATTATAAGATGTCCCATTGAACCCAAATTGCCGTGCCTGTTGACTTTTGCATGTTAAAATCTTGTTTGTTTAGATATAACATATTTTCTAGTAATTTTTATTTTTATTATTTTTTTATTATTTTTATTTTTTACAAATATTAGATACTTGCCTGCAAAGTATTTTATAGATTTTCTTAAATAAAATAAAAGTACCTAGTAAGAATTGAAAGTGACAAGATTTTTTTTTTTTTTTTTTTTCCAATGCTTTTTTTGATACATAAAGACTACTAAATATGTACGTGTAATGCATATAGTTCAAAATATTTGCAAAAATATATATTTTTTATTAATATAAATAATAAATAATTCTCCGTAAGACACTACAAAAATAAAAATTATAAAATCAATTGACATGAGTAAGATAATTACAAAATATTCTTACTTACCGAAAAAAAAAATTACAAAATATTCTAGGCATTGAGAGAGCAAAAACTAATTCTAATCATCCGATTCAAATATTTAATAAGATGTGTAAAACTCAATTAAATTAGAAAGAGATATAGAATAAATTTTGATTTCACCAAGTATATTTTCAATAGATGTAAAATTGAATTAAATAAAATCTGTTTAGAGACAATTCATAAACTAGTTTGATTCATATATTTTAAAATGAATAAGATTATGAAAAAAGTAAAACATTTTTAGTGAATGCAAGGAAATTTTTAATTCAAAATAAGTATGTAAAAATTAATTTTAATTAACATTAAGATAGTAGTAGAAGTATAATGGGATTTCAAATGTGAATTTATCCATTACACAATGAACTGCTTACTTTTTTCCATTTTTCCCAAAAAAAAAAAAAAAAATGGCATTTTCGGGCCTTGGGCAATATGGGACCGGATTGGGTCAAGTGTTCAGGATTTTTTTTTCAAATATTTTTGAAATATTGTGGACATATATATTTCATTTGGAATACATTAATTAGATATGATATTTTATTTTTGGGCATATGTGCGATTATATTTTGAGATATTTTCATGTGGGGACTTGTGTACAATTTGTGAAAGTTGTGTGACATACGGATAACTCCGATATCAACTATGATATCCCCAATTTCGGAACACTGGTTGATCAAGACCGAGCATAAGACCGGGGGATATTATAACAATTAAGGTAATAAACGAATACATAATACAAATGGATAAATAAAGAATAAGTAAAATGGCTGAAAAGAAAACTAAAATAATAATCTATTAATAAAATCCTCATAATAAACTCCAATGATTAATAAACTTCTCTAATACCAATAATCCTCCAAAATATAATTTGGGAATTCATATCATGTGGATCCCTAATAATATCCTAAATGAAATAATAATAATAAGTATCTAAGTCTGAATACTGAAATAAAAGATAGAATCATACGTAGATTACTGGAAGAGTGATGATAATTGGTCTCTCCTCTTCACGAACAAGATCTGATACTTGTGAAAATAAAGTTAACGCAGGATGAGGAAGCTATTAGTTGATTATAATTGTGATTAACTCCTTTAATGACCTAGATCTGATTATTAGGTCGATCAACTTACTCAATTTATGATTGATTAAATTATATGGTCAACTTAAACATCCACAATCATAAATATAACAACTGTAAAATAAAGTAAGTTAAGGTTTGAGAGATTGCATCAGAATTTTTAGCGAAAAAACCCCAATTGATAAAATACGTCGACTGTTTGTATGGGAAAACCTCGTGGATTGTTTAGTTCAAATTAAATCGATTCATTATATTTGAAACAAAGTACACTAAACTGACTCTGCCTCACATCCTATCGTTTTACCAAACACTAATTGCTGACAATCATCTGGCTTTGCAACATCCTATCCAACAACAACTTGACATCCGACTTACGCTTGATATCCGTAGAAAAGTAGGAGGTACATCAGACAACACTCCTCGAATGCTCCAACCCTTTCAAAGTGTGATCGTTTTTCCTTCTTTATTCAAGATCTGAACTCAATATAGAAGAATTAAATCATGTTTTTGGTGCCAGGAATCCTAACCTTAACACAAAGGGCAAGTATGGAATTTTAAAAAATAATCTAGTTTTATGTTATATATGGACTGTTTAGTAATTTCATTGCGAATCTTATTTGCGTTTTTGTGCTTTTAAATGAGCTATTAGGTTGGATTAAAAAAGCAAAGAAAGAATCCAAAATAAATAAATAAAAATTACTCGTACAAGACAAGGACAAATTAATCAAATCTGATGTACTCAGGCTACAAATCCATATGTGTAAAGCAGAAAACAGCTGGGACCACAATATCAATAGATAATTAAACAAACATTAACTGCGAGTACAAGTTCAAATATATATAGCACAAAACAGCTGGGACCACAATATCAATAGACACAACTCTCTCCCCTCAAACAAAATACATAATCCTTAGAAAATAAAGTCAAATAACATAAACGCATGATCATCACTTGCATTTCAGATTCTGGAGCTGTTTGCTTGCGATATGAACTTCCATGGTGCAATTCATATTGATAGCTTTCTTCTTCTTCATCACCAGCATTAGCTCCACCTTTCCGGTCAATCTTGATGTGCTGCTCAGCGGCAAAATCCCAGAATTGAAATCACTTCCTAATTCTGAATTGGTTGGTAAACTGGCTGATGATAGGTTTATACTAACATTGAACCTCTTGGTCGATAGAAATTTAGCTGTCGATTTAGGAACAAAAGCATTCCCCACTGCTGCACCCTTGTAAAAGAAGGTAATGGTACTATTGTCGAATTTGTAGGGACCGAAGTTGGTGTTCTTGACACCAAGTCGAGCATTCATTCTCATGTCAAATGATGATGCCGTGACACTAAACGTCTCAAATGAGGCAGCACGCACGCGGAACTTGGGAGTTTTGACCTTCATGACAGTGAGTGAAAAGATGACTATAACAATGGTTTGAAACACAGCAAACGCAGCAATATATAGAATAAGCTTCTTGCGTTTCTGGCGTTTAAGTTCTTTGGATTGTGCCTCTTCGTCTACTCGGCCATAGCTATTTGGTTCAGGCATGTGATGCCCTGGTTGCTGCTGCTTATCTGCCATTAAGATTCTTGATTAATACTGACAAGTTAGGTTGAGAAAGAGAGAGGATTTTTGCTGGTTTACTGCTAGGTGTTTGAAGGAAATGTTGATGGTAGAGGATGGATGGTTAGTAGCTATATATATGAAGATTTTACAGATATATACATTGTTATATCCGATGTGAGAAGTGTGATCTTATGGGAACACCATACTATGAAGTTTCGTTAAACAATGACTAAAATTGGACTAAACGCGTCCGAGAATTTTTTTGATAAAGGATTACTTCTTTGTTTTGGCGCGTATTATGTTTTTTACAGTCGAATTTTTGGCGCGTATTATTGACGCGGTTGTAATCACTTCCCCGAATCAACAACAGTTGTCACCCTTATAAAGCCATCTAGAAGCCATATTAATGTTTTCTTGTATTGTTTTAGATGTGACATATTTATTCATGTCTTCAACTTATTTGAAAATTGGTGTGGAAACTAATTATTAATAAAGAAAATGTGTAACAAAAATTTCTCTGACCTTTGTTTTCTTGGGGTACTATCATTTTTAGTAATTATAAGATGTCCCATTGAACCCAAATTGCCGTGCCTGTTGACTTTTGCATGTTAAAATCTTGTTTGTTTAGATATAACATATTTTCTAGTAATTTGTTATATTTATTTATTTTTTAAATTTTTTTTACAAATATTAGATACTTGCCTGCAAAGTATTTTATAGATTTTCTTAAATAAAATAAAAGTACCTAGTAAGAATAGAAAGTGACAAGATTTTTTTTTTTTTTTTTTCCAATGCCTTTTTTTATACATAAAGACTACTAAATATGTACGTGTAATGCATATAGTTCAAAATATTTGCAAAAAATATATGTTTTTTTTATTAATAAAAATAATAAATAATACTCCATAAGACACTACAAAAATAAAAATTATAAATCAAATGACATGAGTAAGATAATTACAAAATATTTTAGGCATTGAGAGAAAAAAAAAAAAAATTAATTCTAATCATCTGATACAAATATTTAAAAAGATGTACGTGTAAAACTCAATTAAATTAGAAAGAGATTTAGAATAAATTTTGATTTCACCAAGTATATTTTCAATAGATGTAAAATTGAATTAAATAAAATCTGTTTAGAGACAATTCATAAACTAGTTTGATTCATATATTTTAAAATGAATAAGATTATGAAAAAAGTAAAACATTTTTAGGGAATACAAGGAAATTTTTAATTCAAAATAAGTATATAAAAATTAATTTTAATTAACATTAAGATAGTACTAGAAGTATAATGGGATTTCAAATGTGAATTTATCCATTACACAATGAAGTGCTTACCTTTTTCCATTTTTCCCAAAAAAAAAAAAATGGCATTTTTCGGCCTTGGATCATGTGGGACCGGATCGGGTCACGTGTTCAGGATATTTTTTTCAAATATTTTTCAAATATTGTGGACATATATATTTCATTTGGGATACATTAATTAGATATAATATTTTATTTTTGGGCATATGTGCGATTATAATACACTACAACATATTGGGGTTTTACCATTACTAGCGCTCTTTTTAGGAGCGCTGGTATAGGGTATAGGGTCTTTAGTATTGGGTATTTAGTATCAGCGGTCTTTTGTACCAGCGGTCTTTTTAGGAGCGTTGGTATTGAGTCTTTAGCCTTTTTTCCCTTCCCTCTTTTTTTTTTTTTTCCCATCCCCTCCATTTTTTTCCCTCCGTTGATTTTGGGCCCTAAACTACTTCGTTTTTTAGAGCCAATTAACACTTTATTCCCCTTTCCCATTTCATTTTGCAATAACCCTAACTCCTTCAGCCGCTCTTTCTCCTTCCATCACAGCTCTCTCACCCTTCCATCACCGGTCTCGCCCTTCCATCACCGGTCATCACAACTCTCTCCTTCCATCACCGGTCATCACAGCTCTCTCTCCTTCCATCACCGGTCAGCGTTCCAAAACTGGTGGCTTGGTTTAGAGAGACAAAGTCACACACACACAGAGAAAGAGTCGTCGTTGGGGGCTTCCAAAACCTCGTCTACACTAATAGATCGGACGAGAATTTTTTTAGGTTAGTAATTGTTCGCCTTCTGATTTTGATTACCTGTGTATATATATATTTTTAATTTAAATTATGAAATTACCATATTTGTCAACGTGCACTAGTAGGAAAGTTACAAAGCCCTAGCTTTATTTCTGCAGAGTCGGCAGACGACTCTCTTCGCGAAAGCCCTAGCTCCTTGCCCCTGACCACTGGACATCGCGAAAGCCTTGGATAGCTCCTTGCCTCCTCCTTACAACTTTTTGAAGTCTAAACAAGGTGTGCTCCTAACTTTCTATGTTTGATTGTTTGAACTTTTTTGTTTTGGACTTTGAATTTTTCTTTACTTTTCTCTATTTTTTTTATTTTTTATTTTATTATTTTTTTTGGGGAATCTGTTGATCTGAAAGTTTAATTTGACTTCTCATCGTGCCCTGATTTGGAACGGAATCCTTTTGTACTACCAACAATATCGCAATCCATGGCATGACAGACACATTAGCTGGTTAAATTGTTCTAAACTTTGACAATTATTCTAGATATATGTTGTTCAGGAAGCTCCAACATTAATGAGTATTATTAGAGATCTGTTCTTTTTACCATTCCTATCCTTTATACCTGACAATTTAGATAGTTGCCTGTTAACATTGGATTTCACTTTCTCTTAGTTTATTAAAATATTATGAAAACTAAATTCATTCCAAAATGCTTGTTGAACTTGAACTTTGACAGAGGTTGTGAAGGATGAAGTGAATGTATTGGAACTTTTCCAGTCATGACCAAATTATTGTAGGGTCTGTCCATTTCATAGGATTTCTGAAGGCTTTGTTTTTAGATTAATATCATGTTATAAAAGAGTAGTATATCTTTTTTAGTGATTATATTATATATATATGTGTGTGTGTGTGTGTGTGTGTGTGTGTGTGTGTGTGTGTGTGTGTGTATAGAGAGAGAAATTGAATTTGTTTACTGCTTTCCAGATTCTCTCTCTCATCTCCATTGGTTTTGGTATAAAATGTTTTTATATCAGAAAATATTTTTCATGTAAAAAAATCTCATAGAAAGAATGATATACCTGAACTTGTACATACTTTTTTATTGTTCATATCACATGTATCCTTACCCAAAAAAACCAAAACAAAAATGTCTTGCACAAACATTGTTACTTACTCCTTAGAAATGTTCTTTCCTTGCAACAGAGCATTGTTGGTTCGTTATGACATTATCATGTGCAGATGAATCTTCGTGTCCATCTTCTGCCACAATTCATTTTTCCACCATTAAAATGTCAGGTGGTATGTGTGCGCGTTTTTAACATTTATATTTTACTATGATATTTTTCTCATCATGAAAAATCACATGAATTCAGCATTTTATATCTTTTTCGAGTAATATTTATGCTTGCTGAAATAAACTATACACTAATTTCTTATTGAATATTAGAATCTATATGTGTTTTATGTGCTTATTGAACATAAATGAAAAAATGAAAAGATTTAAAAATTAATGGCATTCACCTTCTAATTTCCATCTCTCCCAACACACACACACACACAACATAGACACATACCCACTTCATGATTTCTCACATAAGGATATCATTAGTTGGTGTCCCTTTTCTTTTTCTTTTTTTCTTTCTTCTTTTGCTTATTCATTCTTGACTTAACAAGCTCAATTTATGGCTTCATGCATTGGGGTCACCTCAACAAAAGAATGCAAGTTTTCTATATATTTATGTAAGACATTCTCCTAAAGAGAAGGGACCCATGACAAGAAAGGACATTAAAGCAAATGTTGAAAAAATAGATGGAATCATTTTATTTTATTTTTTTCCTTTTCCTTTTCCCTTTTCTTTTCCTTTCCTTTCTCAACACAAGTATCTCCAACTGAAGCAACCTTTCACTTTCCCAACAATTTACCAACAATTCTCTAGAGCCCACAGGACTAGTATGATCAGCCTCTGTTATTGCATAAGAGTGTTATTTATTTATTTATTTTTGTTAAATTGCATAAGAGTTCCTATAGGAAAATGGGAGAAATATAATACTATTGCAATACAAGATAAGGAAAGTAAATAATTACTTATATAAAATTTGATTTTTTTAAAATAATAATTACTTATATAACTAACACGAATCATGTTGTTTACACTCTGTAACTAACTTCTCTATTACTATTTTCGTCCCAATGTGGACAACTATTGTGGGACGGGCAGAGTACATTAGACGCTTTGCTTCTATTTATATATATGTTTTTTTTAGGCTTTTAGAAGATTAATACATCAAAGAATCAAAATTCTCTCCAAGAAATTATTATTATGATTAATTTTTTTATTAATTTTTTTTTCAGTTTCATGCCATGTGAAATTTCACAGGATGGTGAATTTTACCTCAATCACCTATTTTTACTCACCTATAGAAATAGTAAAAATAGTAAAATCCATCATGTAAAATTGCAGAAGTGGTGAAGCACTAAAGCTTATGGTGTTAAAAATCCATAAAAATGATGAAAAAATTCAAGATGGTTAAGTTGTACAAACCTAAAAAGATTCTTGGATTGTGCACCACCTTTTTTTAACAATTTGATTGCATTCTCTTAAATGAATTCTCACTTTTTTGTTTGCTTTTCTAGGAAGGATAAATAATAAGCTGACAATGAAACGAACGGTTAGTGAAGTGGAAAAAGTGAGTGAACAAAAAGGGGGTCACGTGCTACTGATGCTGCTACTTCACAGATGATTGTAAGTTTTCAGGCTTCCATTTTGCAAAAAGGGGGTCACGTGCCATGAAGTGACCAATTTTTAAACTCTTTGCGGTGTATTAAGGGGTCACATGCCTTGAAGTGACCAATTTTTAAATCATTGGCCCGTGTGGAGGCATTTTAATTTCATTATTTATCATCGGCCCGTGTGGAGGCAATTTACTTTTTTGTATTTGTTGAAAAGCATGGGAGTATAGGATCATTGTATGTGGAGGCTTCTTGTTGATTGAAATCTATAATCATATAAAATGCATTTACAACAAACATATTAGTATTGTGATGTTAATTTTTGGGTTTTAATTTTATGTGTTGCAGTTTATACATAGCACATACATGTTTTCATACACCACCATACTAACTGAACGTCCACAAAAGAGCTGGTCATCCCCATGTTACACCATACACTGATAACATTTGCTAGGTTTATAAGGCCAAAATACAAGTCATACAACCAAGAAACATGTTTTTTCTGTTTCTTTTTTCCTTTTCTGAAAAGTACATTAAAAAGTTGTACCATAAGTAATAGACGGAAGTAATTCTGAGCAGCCATTAACCTTTGAAAGTAGGTTTCTAGCCCCAGCCTGTATTGACCAAATCCAATATTCAGTTCGAAAATTTTCATTTAAATTCCCCACTCTATTCTTAAAATCTATACTTCAAGTATCCAACATAAATTTTCATGTTCGCTCCTATGAATTCACTTTTAAAATCTATACTTCGCTTCTCTATTCTTAGTTGACTTTAGATTGTGACAGTAACTACTTCTCTCTCAATCACTCTCTGTGTCTCACACACACACATGCACAATGAAGCAATGAAGTTACAATTTTATGGCTTACTGGGGAAAAAAAAAAAGTTACAATTTTATGCTTCCAGCACTTTTGAAACATGGTCTTTAAGAAGGAAATATTTTCTAATCACTATAACTTACTGCACTCACATATTTCATCATTTGGAAATGCATAAATAAACATGATGAATCTTGTAGATATAACTTTCTCAGCATCTTTAGTTATAGAAAGAATTGATAAATTTTGGGTGTTTCATTACATATCATTCTCTAAAAGGGTGGAACAAAAAAACAAAACTATCAGAAAATAATGGCAAGACAAAATAAGAAAATACATGCTATTACTCCACAATTCTTAGACACTGAAAAATTTACATGACAGATCATAAAATGCTATGGCTGAGATACAGAACATTCAACTGTATACTGGAAAAAAAAAAAAAGAAAAAAAAAAAGCACTAGTCATTGTTTATTTGATGAAAAAATATGACACAACTGAATATCAACCATTAACCTAAAAAAGGGATTGATAGGGGCCAAAATAGGGACTTGGGGTGGGACCCTTTGATATAAGAGAAAAGGATTTTTTTAATTTTGTTTCTTGAAATTTTATTATCATATAGGATCGATAAGGGTCCTTTGTTTGCATTTTACTTTCAAAGTGTTCATGTTCTTATGATTGTTTGGTTGTTATGAAAATCTAAATCCTTTTCTTTTCTTTTCTTTCCTTTGTGGGGAGAACTAGTGGGGCAGTGGATGGATTTGGATCATTGGTAGGTAGGTTTGAAGTTTCTCCATGGATTTTGTCTTAGCCTTGTCACTTGTCCATGCCCCTTCATATAAGGAGGAACTTCCTCCTTGTAGTTAAATTTTGATTCTCTATATCAGAACATAAATCTTTACACACACACACATACAAACATATATAGCAATAATCATTGTTCATTCCTCTATTTCTCACATGTTCATCAATTCATCCTTTGTAGTCCAAGATGCAAAATCTGACTACTAATGTGTGTGTGTGTGTGAAACATGTTGACTGGTATGCAGAGTCATGAGCAAACTTCAATGACTATATTTTGAGCTTAAAACAATGGCTCCTCTATTTAGTAGGATTTATAATTTTCTTATATTGAAAACACCAGGGCTATGTTAGAAGGACATAGATAAATCCATAGAGCCGACAACACATCAAGCACAATTAATTCATACATGAGCAATAATTACTCCCAGAAAAGCCTTAAGCTTAGAAAAAAAGAAAAAAAAAAACATCAGTTAGCAGCTCTATCTCGTACTCAGATAGTACATAACATTTCATCTTAGAACCGTCAACAATCAATGAACAATACATTATTGCCAAAGTAGTCGTGCTGCTGTTGATCAGAGAACTCAAAACTAGTGTTCTACTTCTATTGTGTTGGGCTTTTCCATTGACTTGCAGATCATTCTAGAAATCTATCATATATAGAAAAAAAGCAAAACTGAAAGAGAAAAAACCAGTGAACCTAAAATTTCAATACAGATCATAGAACAAAACATTTTAGTAAATGTTAACTACTCCCGGTTTTTTAGTTTTTCTCTATAATTAGAATCCAAGGACGTCATAGGAGAAATAGGGAAACTTTAATAATGAACAATCTCTTACAGTGAGAACTAATGGTTGGAGTAATGCAGATGCAACAACAAAATTGTAGTGGACAGGTATATTTATTATTAGTTTTACTCTTTACTAAATATATGTTTACTTATGCCAAGATTTCATGTATTTTGTTTTGTTATTTTGAAGGGTTCTAATTCTTTAAATTCTCCTCCTAGACCTCCAAATTCATTTTCTAGTCGTGATGCCAATTCAGTTAAGGTTATGAACTTTTTTAATTTCTCTTATATGTTAAGTTTCCATTTATTATAATGTGCGCTTAATGAATTTATAAAAAATGTAAGGTAATTCAAATCAAATGGGCGAGAAAACTTATTGAAGTTGAAGTTGAAGTTGAAGCTGAAGATGGGGGAGTGGATGTGCTTTCTGAATTTCTTTCGCCGTGGATGACTTCTTTTTGAAAAACTTGTACTACATTTGTCAAAAATTCTTAATTCTTTTTATGTGACATTTAGTAGCTTTATCTAGACAATTTGGATTGTATCTTCATATTGGCAGGTTAACTTGTGGTTATATAACACTTTCGCTTTTTGGTTGACATTTACTAGCCAATTTCGATAGTATTTTTCATATTAGCAGTAGGTTTAACTTGTGGTTGTACTATGTGAAATAATTTGGGTCGTATTTTTATAGACTTGTGTTATATTGGGAAGACATTAGTAGCCGTAAAGATTTTTTTTTTCCAAAAACAATAAGGGGAAAAAAAAAAAATTAAATAACACTTTACCAGCGCTCTTTGAAGAAGTGCTGGCATAGGGGGGGGGGGGGGGGGTGGGGGAATAATAAAATGGCCCTTTACCAGCGCTTTTTTATGGTCAAAAATAATAATAAAATGGCCCTTTACCAGCGCGTTTTCAAAAAGCGCTGGTAAATATGCTTTTACTAGCACTTCTCCAAAAGCGCTGGTAAATACGCTTTACCAGCACTTTTGGAGAAGCGCTGGTAAAAACCCTTTACCAGCGCTTCTTCAAAAGCGCTAGTAAAAGCCACTTACCAGTGCTTCTCCAAAAGCACTAGTAAAGCCATACTGATGCTGGATTTAGCAGCGCTTTTAAAGAAGCGCTAGTAAAGCGCTGGTAATTGAATTACCAACGCTTTTTAAGGCTTTTACCAGCGTTTTGAGCGTTGTAAAAGCCAAAACTGTTGTAGTGTTATCTTTTGAGTTATTTTCATGGGGACTTGTGCGCAATTTGTGAAAGTTGTGTGACATACGGATAGCTCTGATACCAACTATGATACCCCCAATTTCATAACACTGATTGATCAGGTCCGCGCACAAGACCGGGGAATATCATAACAATTAAGGTAATAAACGAACACATAATAGAAATGGATAAATAAAGAATAAATAAAATGGCTGAAAAGAAAACTAAAATAATAATCTATTAATAAAATCCTCATAATAAACTCCAATGATTAATAAACTTCTCTAATACCAATAATCCTCCAAAATACAACTCGAGAATCCATACCATGTGGACCCCTAATAAATATCCCTACTAAAATAACAATAATAAATATCTAAGTCTAAATACTGAAATAAAAGATAGAATCATATGTAAGTTTGAATACTGAAATAAAAGATAGAATCATATGTAGATGACTGGAATAGTGATGATAACTGGTTTCTCCTCTGCACGAACAAGATCTACACTTAATACTTGTGAAAATAAAGTTAACGCGGGGTGCAGAAGCTATTAGTTGATTTTAATTGTGATTAACTTCTTTAATGACCTAGATCTGATTATTAGGTTGATCAACTTGCTCAATTTATGATTGATTAAATTATATGGTCAATTTAAACAACCACAATCATAAATATAACTACTGTAAAGTAAAGCAAGTTAAGGTTAGAGAGATTGCACCAGGATTTTTAGTAAGGAAATCCCAGTTAATAAAATACGTCGACTGTTTCCTTGGGAAAAACCTCATGGATTGTTCAGTCCAAATTAAACCGATCCATTATGTTTGAAAGAAAGTACACTAAACTTTGACCCTTGCTTACACCCTATCGTTTTACCAAACACCAATTGCTGACAATCCTCTAGCTTTGCGACGTTCCGTCCAATAGCAACTTGACCTCAGGCTTATGCTTAATATCTGTAGAAGAGTAGCAAGTAGATCAGACAACACTCCTCAAATACTCTAACCCTTTCAAAGTGTGATCGTTTTTACTTTTGTTCTTCAAGATCTGAACTCGATATAGAAGAATTAATTCCTGTTTTTTCTCCAGAATCTCTGAATCTTCAATATAGCTCCAATTCCGATGAGATAGAGAAAAACACTACTTAATCACTCATGAATATATATGTGTGTGCTCTCATAAATAAATTCAGAATAATCAGATTTGATTTTCTGAATTTTTTATCTCTAAAAGGCTTTCTCAAAATATAAAATTGATGTTCCTTAAAGTCATGAATAAACCTATAAGACTAACAAGGTTTATATAGAGGTTAGAATGTCCTAATCCCTCTGAATATATAGAAAATTTCGTGTATAGGACTTGGAAAGAAGTTGTGATAAAAAATGAAACAATCAGAAGAAGGAAGCTGAAATTCTGATGCTACCAGGACATCTTGAACCGGTTCGGCTCCCTTAAACCTGTTCAAGATGACCAACAAAGAATCCCTGGGATTCTTGAACCTGTTCAGCCCCATTGAACCGGTTCAAGATGGCCAGTCTTGAAGGTCTGCTAATGTTGAACCAGTGTTGAACCAGTTCAAGATATACAGAATGTAAATTCTTCCTTAAAAACTTCCAAAACCCTTCTTAATGTTCTTATTACCTCTCAAAACTTCTTAAAGCATTGTTCTCATCATCTCGGAATGTAGTATATCATGAACACTTGAACCTCTTCAAATTCGCATCCAATATTTAATCTTTGAAATTTTGAACCGAAAAATTACAACTCAATCAAACATGTTTTGACAACTAAATTAGCCAATTACAAAATATATATCTCATAATACTGATGATAACCTGAAAATAAATTATGGCTCAGGCTCACGAACAAGTCATTTCTACTACATTCCAAATAGAGATCCGATAAACGATTACATCCTAATCAAACTCATACAATAGCTATATAGTCGGTATATATAATATACAAACTAAAGACTCTTGACCGGTCCTTTACAAGGGTCGCGATACCAAGTCAAGCTTGAGAGTTGTGTGTGTTTAGGAGGTGGCCAAGTTTTACATTTATAAAAAGCCACTACTACCTTTCTCTATATAAAATATAGATAGGGCGAGTAGGGATCGTCCCAAGGGATTTGATGGTGTATCGAATTGTGAACTATGGTAATTAGGGTTAGTAGGTCGAGTGATCACACAATTGGTTGGTTGGTTGATTATATTAAATGAGCTAAACTATAATAAAGCAATGCAATAAGATAAAGAGTAAGTAAGAAGGAAAGGTCTTGGGGTGTAGAGATCACCACCAAACAATACTATTCCAAACCATAATCAAGTGACTAATGAGGGAAATGAATGTGTTGCAACAATGTTGTGTGTGTAAAAGACATTCAATTGGTAAGGGTGACTCAACAAGTGCAAATTGTCTCAATCAACATGTATGAGGCCACAATACATCTATTGGTAGAGGAATATATTGTCTAAACATCATGTGAAGATAACAAAATAACAATTCAAGTCATTGAACTTTTCATTAAGCTCATAGTCCAAGCAATCCATAAGGATGACTTAGTTAAACATGCATTATCTAATCATCATGTGAGAGGTACAAAATATCTATTGGGAGAGGAATAAATTGTCTAAACACATGTGAAAGATACAACATATCATAACTAATCATTAATCCTTCATTAAGCTCAAAATTCATTTACACCACAAAATTAGAGCATATGCTTCTTGCATTCAAAAGCATGGAACATCAAAGAACAAGCATGAATTGTTTCCCCAACTAACACTACACTACTTAAAAGAGAAACACAATTCATCAAGGAATAAGTATAAACCATCTAGAGACATAACAAGAGCATTACATTAAGAACTTCACATTTTGGCAATCTCAAGATTAAAGGCATTAATACACATAGACATGCATCAATAACATTAAATCTAGAGGTGAGCATCTACTCTAGCATACATAGACATATAGATAGAGAAAATGATCAATTAGAAGCATTAATCCATAAAACTCAATGAATAATCAAGATCTTCATAAGTTAAAGAATCAAAATATGCATTACAACACAAATCCCTCAAAATTACACAAGATTAGGTAAATAAAGCATGTTTGGGGCTAACTCTAGCCCCAAGAAGATGTCTAGCCACTCATGGTAGTGATGATCTAACCCTCAAGGGCTAACTCCATGGTTGCTCCTTGTAGATGAAGATCTCCTCCAATGGTTGCTCTAGCTTCCTCCCTTCTTCCTCTCCAAGAATAGCCTCCAAGATGATTTTCAATGTGTGACAAGAGACTCTAGGCTCCCCTCCAAAAAGTGTATCATATTCCTTATATAGGTAGGTCAAATACACCCTATGATAAGCTGTGGTCGTGCAAGGCATATTCTCCAATGATTGGGTGAAGGACGGAATAAATGAGCTGGACTTTAACGTTTTCTCGCTGGAGGAAGTTCGATCGATCGAACCTTAACTTAGATCGATCGAAGATGGGTTCGATCGATCGAACTGCATCTTGGATCGATCGAAGTGGTCTGACTCCTCCGGATAAGGACAAGGCTGAGATATTTCGAAGATATTTATGGGGAAAAGGACAAAAGTGGTTGGTAGGCGTACAGCTGTGGATAAGATCAATCATTTGAATATGACAAAATAGGGTTCGATCGATCGAAGGTGATGTTGGATCGATCGAACTTGGAATTTCAACAAAGGCTAAGGTTGGATCTATCGAGAAGTACTGTGATCGATCATAGATGTTCGATCGATCGAACTCTAAGTTGGATCGATCGAACTTTTCAGCTGCATAACTTTGATTCCTTTTTGCTCCTTGCTTCTCCACTTTGCTCCCTCCTTTGGTTTATCTCAGGATTGCTTCAATTAAGCTCTTATTTGGCTGAGTTAGCTCAATTTTGGGATTAGTGCCTGAAAATATAAATAACACGTAATAAGTCTAAAACGGCAAAGTAAGATAAATAAGGGTACTAGAATGCTTAAGCTTAACGGATTTAAATGTGCACTTTTCAGTGCTCATCAACTCTTGCTAGACTATAGGGCAAACTCAACCGAATAGTAGGCATCATGCAAAGCGCACATGAAGTGGTCATGAGTACCATCATCTACCAGGGCACACACAATCTTCTATACCCAGTTACGCATCGCAGGGGAAATATAACCTTCTTAACCATCGATCCAGAGACCTCAAACTCAAATCATGGTACATACATATATATATACATATGTATATATATAGACATATCCTGACTATAGTATAACAATATAAAATAAAAGCCATATCTTAACAATGGTAAGTCATCCATATCCTAATAATGGCATGACAAGGAATGAGTCTAAACTTATTAGCCAACCCACCCTTAATATATAGCCATATCTTGA